CGTCCTCGGGCTTCGTGTACCGTTTCGCGAATTGTACCGTCTCGCGTAGATTGACTATCGGGACGTGCGAGAGTCCCCGAATAAACGTCTCATTGTTAGTATTATCGAGTCTAGTGATTTCGCTTCCTCCAACCCATCCCGTCTCCGACTTTAATTTAATAGAGCTACCGGTCCCGACGGTTCCGGGACGCGCATTTCTTTTGTGATAATTATTTATTCTCGCGCTTATCGAGGTGGTGCAGCCTTTCCGTACCTGGCGCCCAACTCTCGCGAAAATCTTTGTGGCGTGTCCGGGAGCCGACGGCAATTTGACGACGCGGCGAACAGGCGACTGTTTGCCGTCGCTCGCGAGAAGTTCCGCTCGCGAGTATCGTCGCAATTTATATACTACAAAATATATACTATAAGAAATAATTAAGATAAAAGAACAATTCAAAAACACAGAGGATAAGGTCCACATAACAAAATAATTAAAAAGGATTTATTGAAATTTCACTTCGATCTATATATAATTAGATAAATCTAAAAATTTAAGTCACAAATTTTAGGTTTAAACATAGGAGAGAGTAGGCTGACGCGGAGCTCTACTATCTCCAGATAAATATATAAACAAATGCGATAATAGATCCTACGGATTCTGATTGGATGTTAAAAAAGACCCTCCTACTAGGAATTGGGTATAAAAAGGGAACACCACCCTTATAGAAATATCATTACTAAGAATCATTGATAATTACTTATTTTCAGTATTAAAAATACTGGATAATAAGTAATTATCAATGATTCTTAGTATGATATTTCTATAAGGGCAAGGGCCAGCGAGTCAGTACGGAATTTTTAGTCAGAGGAGACAGTCAGTCAGACAGTACGTCAGAATTTTAGTTAGAAGAGTCAGTCGGTCGGAGACGATACCGAACTAAGCGGTTAGTTCACCTCGGTTTTTCCTTTTCAATTCCAGACCTATAATCGCACTTGTTCTATCCTATAGTATCTCAACGTATTAATTCAATCACCTTAACACTTAGAAATAAATTGTTATACGTTACTTCTTTTAGATTGAAACTAAGTCTCTTTTCCACTTTAGATAAAATCTCGCATGAAAATTATTCACGAGGAGTAATTATAGTTGTCGCTGTCAATAGCGTGGCCCCAATCACACGAACTGTCGCTACCAATAGTGTGGCCCCGTTCCTCGTAATTATTCCTCAACGAAATTTATTTAATTCTATATGCCTTCGAAAGGTGGGCGACGACAGCGAATTAAGAGACTTAGATATCAGATCAAGGTCGCTTTTTTTTCAAACCCGTTTTTCAAGACCCGTTTCCATTATTTGAAGAATTAGCAAAACTATTAGATCAATCTCCTCAATTTAATCCTTCATCTATAGTAACCTATATTTTACGTAAGGCAGAATATACCTATTCATTTCCCGACTACAAGTCCATCCCTAAGGGTGATCCTCGTCGACTCACCTATAAAATATGCGAATTATTCGGAGTAGAACACCGATGATCCTATCCAGTTCTTTCACCCGTCAACCGGTGAACTAGAAGTAGTGCACAACTTGATCTCCGATCCCCGGGTAAAATGCTTTAATGCATTAACCCAAAATAAGGAGAAATAAAAACTAATTCTATACGTGACGACGCGACGGAACGTCACATCTAAAAACTAAGCTATCTATCAAGGAGCTGGAATTACATTATAATCCATATATTTGCAATCAAGTACCGTCTTCACAAATCAGTCAATATTAAATATTTTAATTTACGCACGCTTTCTGAGTCGGTATATGATAAATGAATGTCAATAAGACTCCGAATTATTGGATTTACCATCGAAATAAATGTATGAGAATTACTGCAAAGAACAGTAGTAGCTATTTGTAGAAGTTTTAAAACGACAATTAGCTCGCTTAGTCGCTTAGCTCGAGTGTCCATTCGCGTTCTGTTATTTCCAGTTGCTCAGCAGTAGAGCGGGAAACAATATTTCTATTAGCTAAGACGTTTTCCACGGGAACCCTGTTTTGAAGCAAACGACCAAGCATAAAATATATTGAATTCCATCGCGTAGGGCAACTTTGAATTAGTTTAAAACTGATAATGCAATTGCTTTTTGTTGCTCTTCAAATGGGTTACTTGCTTTATACGAATGATGGAACAGAGATACGATTTTTTTAACAGTACAAAAAATCTGATGAATTTTGAGCTCATTTAAACCTTCTTTTACGCTGAGTTGTAGAATATGAGTTACACAGGATATTCCTGATTTTATTTTATCATTGATATTTTTAAAAGCTCCAAGCATATTTGCTGCATTATCGGTGAGAACGCCATTGCTTTGTCAATTCCCACTCATTTAAAATCGATTTAATTTTATTAGCTAAGTTTGTACTTGTATGCGCTTTGTCCATCGCCGTCGTAATTAAATTATAAGACTTTCCTTCCCATTTCTTATTTAAAAAATAAATATTTACGGTGATATAAAAATCCTCCGATTTTGAGGTCCAGCAGTCGGTTGAGAAAGATAATGCAGCATTTAATTCTGTTTTAATTTGCGAGCTTACATCGTCATAAGCAAGCATTAATCTTTCTTTGAATGTTGCTTCACATGAAACTTTGTAATTTGGCTCGATTAATTTCATAAAGTCACGAAAACCGGTACTATGGATGAATGAAAGCGGTAATTGGTTCGATACTACCAATTTTACCGAAGCTCTGTCGAGGAGTTCAACTCTTTCTGCACTACATGGCCGTGAAATATCGTTAACTTGTCCATAGACTACTCGACGTTTCGTATTAATATTTTTGGATGTTTGATTATTTAGGGTATATTCATTTAATGTACGCGACGATGATGACCTCGCAATTCGATTCGGATCTTTATAAGATTCGTCATTCTCGAGCGTGTCGTCGGTGTGATTAAAAGGAAAGGAATGAAGTTATATCAGTCGAATGTAATTGTATATATTGCTACTAAAATATTAATTCATTATGCAATTATCTCTTTATATTATTATGTATAATATTGTAAAAATGATATATATTATAAAAAACTTTCCAAACCTGCGTTTTCTATTTTCTGTATTGTTTTCAAACATGCCATGGACAAATCGTAAATGTTTATTTACTGAAGATGTTGAGCCTTTTGTTTGCAATACCACATAGCATATATTGCAACTTGCTGTTAAAGCATCTACCGAACGTTTACAATATTTCCACACCCAACTACTTAACATCTTGTTCTCGCTAAATTTTATACAAGAAAAGAATATTTATTAAGGTTGTAAAGGGTTTGAGTACGCTCCCTTAAATGCCATGTAACCCCGAGGGGAACATTAATAAATAATAATAATAATAATAATAATAATAATTAAGAATATTTATTCATCTCCCCGGAAATCCAACCGTTAGCACACCTAACAGCACCAAGCTCAGAGACAAATAGCGAGCGAGACGATATTACTTACGATATCCTTACTATATTATTTACGATATCCTTGCGATATCCTTATACTCCGATAACCTATACATTTCATATTTTTACTTAAATTGGTATTAAATCCAAACTGCCGGCAATCGTAATCTTGCATTACGTGTCGCTGTCGACTCCGCCGTGAATTTAGATTCGGATGCGATGTTTCAATTGTTCGTATCTCATTTATCTCATGCATCTCATTGTATTTGATGACGTAGATTTGAAATCTCAGATCGAATCCGATCTCGGATATCCGGATAATCATTTATTCGGATGTTAGGAAGCCTAGTTATCTCTGTTGTAACGCACACACTCGGACGCGCGCGCACATACACACACACATACACACACACACGCACACACACACGCGCGCGCGCACACACACACACACACACACACACAAGATCGATTCTTTTTCAAGGCTATTATGATGTACAAGTCCGACCAAACAATTTTTCCGTTATGTACATCGAACAATGCAAATATCTGCGTTATGACAAATTTGAAGCTTCATATCTTGGGAATTAGCTTCAAGATCATAACATATGTATGGTTGAACTCATCTTGGAACAGGGTACCATCTTTTGGAGTTCAAAATATGTGTCACTTAAAAAAATTGCGTCGGGTATACGTCGGGTCGTAGGTGTACGCTAAAATATGAATAGGATCGGAGGCGATAATCAGCTTGCTTCCTTATATCTTGTAAGATATAAGTTGTAACTTTTATATGAACAACCATTTCTTTTATATGAACAACCATTTCTTAACACCTATCATTTACAAGTTAATCAGGTGTATTGTAACGGTACACCTCTCCCGTCGCCTCGGATTGGCTCGCCAATATCAAGGCCCGGGATAGAGAAGACTCAAGTTCGTAAACTAGATCGTTCTAGTTTAAAAGATTTTATTTAAATCCTTATATAATCCTACAATTTAGCGTATGAGCGGACAGAGATTCGCGCGTACGGACGAACGGATTTATTACTACCAGAGATTTACTAACTAGCACGCTTAGACGGATAAATTAACGGATATTTCTCGATTGCGCGGATAGATTTACCACTAACGGGAACTTACTGACTAGCGAACTCTCGTCCAGTTTTGCGCCCAGTAACCTCGAAGTTTCAGACCCATGAAAACGGCTGATTGGTATTCAAGCTATTAGTATGGCTAGTTTTTGCGGCTGGTCTACCCTAAAAAGGACTGGTTCGATGCCCCGGCAGGCAGCGCCGTTGGCAGTGGAGCTATCGTAGGAATTTGGGGCTCCCCAATAGAATCGATCTCGTCAAGGAGATCACCTCGTCGAGCGAATAAAAAACGGGATGTCGAGAGGGAGCGCCCTGCGACGGGCCGGATCGAGAACGAGTGCGTCGAAACCGGAGTGATGGTTTCCCCGGGATCGTTCGGGGTTACCGACAGACTGGTCGTCGGATACGTCCGACAAAAAGTCGGGTAGACGTCCGTCTACCAAAATCAGAAGTTAGAAACAGGAGAAGCTAGGAAAGCTTATGAGTTTCTGGGTAAGCCCTGAGACTCAAGCCAGAACTGATACTGGCTCTCGAGGCGAGTCGGCTTTTATACTCGCCCGGGGCCGTCTCACCCGCGCGTTATGGCACCTAAAAACGCCAAATTTAAAGATGATTGGTCAGCCTAACGGTGCGCCATTACAGTATAATTTTATTTCAGATACACCTCATACATATATACAACGTATATTTCTGTACGATAACCTAATCTAATACCGTGCAATTTAGTACTCAACTCTTTTGCTAATTTTAATATTTACCATATAAACTTTTTTTATTATTTTTAAGTTCAACATCTGTCATTACAGTAAAAACACATTTTACGAAACATTTTGTATATATCATTTATTTCCAAATACGGAAATATTACAAAATATTTAAGAAAATTTCAAAATCCTATATATATTTTGATCATTCCGAAGTACGTGTATATGTAATATTACGGACGAGTTCAAGAATCAAGTGGGGATTATACTGTTTTCATTTATATCATTAATTATAGAATTTTTACTGTATAACATTTATAAATATATATAAATTGTTATGTATATAAATTTGTTCATGACATAAATATAGTATACATTTCTCTACAATACAACAATATATTTTGTTTATGAAATGTGAAAAATATAATAGTATAATTTACAAAATATTAATAGCAATTTAAAACAAGTTCAATATAAGTTTAATCATATCTTTTCAACCTTATTCTTTAATTGGAAATCCGAGTCTAAACGATCCTGACGTATCTCTGATAGTTGTGCAACTTGACTTCCTCCTATTATCCCTTGTTTCTTTCGAATAGATGTCATTATTTCTCTGACACATTCTAAAAAAGTTAGCTGGCTTCCATATGTTTTAAGAATTTTACAAACTTCTTGTATAAACCATGAACCTAAATAAAATAAAAACAGAAATTAGGCTTTACACGCATATGCTGTTTACTGTTCATATAATGTAACAAATATTACATTATAAGAAAGATAAACATTATAGGAAAGATAAATTGTCTCTCCTTGTCAATAGAACGTACGATATGTAATGCTACTACTATCTTTAAAATTATACTTATTATATGATAATGCTTTGTGATTGGATTATTAAATTCAGCAAAATATTTTAGACAAAATTATAAGGTTTCGGAGGTGGCATGTGATGATAATATATTATTATAACATTAAAATATGTATATTTTTGGTAAAACTCTCGTCTCTTTAGGGGAAGCAGCTCCAATAGCCTTGACCTTGATATGTTATAGAGGTCACCTTCCTGAATAACGTTCAGAAGATTTTAGCCTTTTGTTTATTAAAAAGTTATTAATAAAAGAATTTTACTAAGCAGAATATAGTATTCCAACACCAATAAATACAACCAATAATAATACGAAAAAAAATACGAGATACGCCGTAAATACAAATATCCATTAGAAGCCGAGGTTTAATGGTTTTTTTATCTCTTTATTCAAATGTTCTGAGTATTCTCACTCTATGTATATGTAGTTGGTGTCAGTAGTCTTCGACTACAAGTTGTCGTATAATCTTGTGCAAACAAGTTAGAAAACCTGAAAATTTTTGGACAACGTATATACAAAAACATTGAGTTTGTAGACAAGAAAATGTCTGTTCCTAGTCGTGTGACGAGGAGCTACGCACCGAACCGAGGGGG